CAGGTCGCACTTGAACTAAGGAACACACCGACGCCGCCCTTGCCCAATGGCCAAATCCCAAGCAGGAGGAGCAAGCGAGGCACGTCCAGTCGAAGCGGCGTCTGGTGCGACCTGATTTGCCTCCACGGGATCTGCTTCGACGCGGAAGGAACACACCGACGCCGCCCTTGCCAAATGGCCCACACCAGTTCGAGAAGGAGCAAGCGAGGCACGTCAGAACCCCCACGACGATTGTGTCAGCTCGGGGAATGGTGCTTACAGCGCACCCCGTGCCATAGCCGAGTTGGCTGCCCCTGCAGAAGCGTCCACCATGCATCCAGCAATTTTGGTGAGTGCTGCATCGAGGGGGGGGGGGCAGACCCATCGTGGCCCCTGCAGTGCGGCCCTTGCGGTGGTTCTGGACGGTTGCGGTAAGGTGGCTTACCTGTCGGGTCGAAGCCCGTCTCCACCCCAACATCTGGCTGAAACTCCGCCCATTTTCTGTCGGTGGCATCGCTTCCCTGTCCTTCGGGGCATGTGGCTGGGCGCCAATGCTCGGTTGGGATTTGGCCATTTGGCAAGGGCGGCGTCGGTGTGTTCCTTAGTTCGAGTGCGACCTGATTTGCCTCCACGGGATCTGGTTCGACGCGGATGCCCACCCTTTCGTCCGATCGGATGGCACCGCAGGCGATGTGCCTTTGAGAGGTGGCCCGAGCTTCCTGGAGAGAGCTCAGATGGCCGTCTGGGTACCATGCCGTGATGCAGTCGCTGGGTGGCGGCCCTGTTGTTCCGAGGCAGCTGACGTCGAACTGGATGCCTCCCTGGCCCAGCGTGGAGAGGATCACAGGCACGTCCGCCAGTTTGATGCCGAAGGGGGCCGTTAGCCCGCGCTGTCCCGCACTCGTGCCGTGACGCCCAAGGGCTCATGCACGCGGCGTCTGGCATGGCTGCGAATCGTTAAACTTAGATTCATGGTGAATTTCGCCGGCAAGATCGCCGCTGACCTCCTTTGAGCTCGGAGAGCTTAGAGCTCGGAGAGCGTGAAAAGGAGCTCCGGGGGCTCTTGGACTTGGTCGGTGCGGAGACGAGCGGTGAAGATGGCCGTGAAGGCATCGTTGAGGTCGTCGTCCAGTTGCCGTCTCGCGCTGTCGCGCTTGGTCTTCCTGTGGCGCTCGTGGGCCTCGTTTAAGCCGGGCCCGTGCCTCCTGGGATGCGGGTTCCGTTGATGGGGGCGGCGCCGGGGAGCTGGGCGGTGAACATGTCTTCTAACGTTGGCGTGGTAGCAATGGCGTCAGCCTCGCAAGCGGCGCCTCGAATCCAAGTGGCGCTGTCGGCAGGGCCGAGGCTAATCTGAACCATGTTGTGGAGGCAGTTTGCCTCGGTGCGGTCAAGCTGGCTAATGGTCCTTGTGATGTGTCCTGGCGTGGGCTTGGTAGCTTCAGGCGTTTTACGGAGGTCGGTTATGACGGTTTCATTTCCAGGATAATCGGTGTTGATCGGTTTCAGGAGTGCTAGTGCCAGGGGTGTATCCAGCCCGCGAATCTGTTGCAGGAGCTGGTTACCCTCCTCTAGCGTGTAAAGCGAGATGTTGCTGGTGTGTGATGTCCCGTCCTGCGCCCTGTTCGGCGCGATGGCGACGGGGGTATCCCAGTTCAGTGCATCGAGGCTGACTCGTGGGGCGGTGCCGTTGCCCTGGTGGGCGTCGGCGGAACTCGTTGACCCTAGGAAGTCGTGGCTGGAGCACGTTTTGTGCGTGAGAGAGTAATGCAGTATGGTGTAGTTGATTGCGAAGGCCTGACGGCCGGTGCCGCCGACCCTGAAGAAGACCACGACGTCGGCGACGAAGTGGGCGGAGACGGAGGCCGTGGAAGATGAGGAGGAGGAGGAGGCGAGGAGGAGGGGGAGGAGGAGGAGGAGGAGGAGGAGGAGGAGGAGGAGGGAGGAAGGGAGGAGGAGGAGGAGGAGAGAGGAGGAGGGAGGAGGAGGGAGGAGGAGTTGACTTTGTGTGTCCCCGCGCCGTTTCACCAGCTCGTCCCCCAGCTCGCGCTGGTCGGAGCGGTGCTGTCGTGACACACATTGGCAAGATCGTCCTGCTCACTGTGGGCAAGGTCGTTGTGGGCACTGGCTGCTCGGTCGGCGACGCCACTGCTCTGGAGCGCGGCGATGCAGGCCTTCTTGTGATCGAGGCTGGTGTCCTGTCGGTCGGAGGCAGCCTTGGGGCGGCCTTTGCCCGATGGCTTGGGCTGCGGTGGTGCAGGGGGCGCACGGCAAGAGGACCTTCTCGGAGCCACGACGCGCGCGGAAAGTATGGGGATGTGACACGTATCGGTCCAGTGTGGCCGATGCGGCTGCGGTCTCACAGGGCCGGGGGGCGCGGGCGGTTGCGTGTCGCGGCTGCGCAAGTGCTCTCGAGCCGAGACAGGGAAAGGAGAGAGAGGGGGAAAGAGAGGGAGATGGAGAGGATAGAGAGAGAGAGAGAGAAAGAGAGAGAGAGAGAGAGAAAAAGCGAGAGCGAGCGAGCGAGCGAGAGAGAGAGAGAGAGAAACTGAGCGAGGGAGAGAGCGGGCAGGGAGCGATAGACAACAGTGTTTCTCCCGAGCAGTGCTTGCACTTATGGTGTCTTACTTGATTGATATGTAATTGGTTTGCGCTTCCGGCTGTCTGCCCGTGGGCGCCTCGTTGTGGCTGGCGGGTGCTCACACCACGTAGTTTGCACATCCACAGTGCGCAAGCTCATTGTGTGGGGTCCACGCTGACAAACACATGTGACAACGAAAGGGATGGAAGGAGGGAGAGGGGGAAAGGCCGAGTGAACACCGTGCAGGGATGAAAGGTGCACGCTGCGAGCGGCCCTCGGCGACCGTCCGCGGCCCCCGGTGGCCCCCAGCGGCTGTTGCCGTCGTCGTCGTCGTCGTCGTCGTCGTCGTCGTCGTGGTCGCTGTTCGTGTCGATTTCCCCGGCAAGGTTCGTCATCGTGGTGAACTCGGCCGTGTGCAGCAAGGGCCGCGCAAAGGAATCTTGGGCGCAGCTCAAGGCGCGCCCCTGCGCCTCCTGGGGTCTCCTCATCCTGATCCTTCTCCTGTCTCCCCCTCCTCCCTCCTCCTCCTCCTCCCTCCTCCTCTCTCCTCCTCCTCCTCCTCCCTCCTCCTCCCTCCTCCTCCTCCTCCCTCCTCCTCCCTCCTCCTCCCTCCTCCTCCTCCTCCGCCTCCTCCTCCTCCTGGCGCCACCGCTGCGCTACGCGCGTCGGGTCTGGGCCCGTCCACCGCGCGGCGGGCGCCTGCGGCCGCGGCCGCCGGCGCTCGCGCCCGAGGACGAGGGGGGGCCCACCCCCATCCACCAGAACAGCACCTGCCTTCCGAGGACGCGACGGACGACGGATTCCCCGGGGCGTCGGGGCCCGGTGGCCCCCGCTGCTCCCTCGGGGAGGCCACCGGGCGCTCCGGGCAGCCGCCAGGGATCGGTGGCCGCCAGCCTCCGCCCACACGAGGCGTCGACGTACAGGTACAGCCAGTGCTTGGCCACACCGTCGTAGGGACGGCCTCCAGCGGCAGAAACAGCAGCATGCCCAGATGCAATTCGGCGCCTCTGGAGGGAACAGCCAGGCGTACAATCCCATATCAAGCAGGCTTCCGGCCAGAAGAGTACCATCTGCTGGGAGACATGGCCTGCATTGTGGTCGGCTGCCGTCGAGGGAGCATCCAAGAGTACGGATAACTCGGTGCCAGGAATGATCACCACACATAGAGCCACTGCTATGCCACACCGGGGTAGGCCTGGCCTCCAGTGGCGAGATAATGTAAGCATGATGTAAGCCGCGTGCGCTTCCAGGTCCTAGGCAGAAGCAGACCGTAAGCCTGAGAGACTACCATATGGTGAGTGACATAGCGTGTATTGTGGTCGCTGCCTGCGTGGGAGCACTCCAGCGTGGGGAACCATGCCAGGAAGCTCCTCCAAAGTTGACGATCCACTGCCATGCCACACCAGTGCAGGCCTGGCCTCCTGTGGCGAGAGACATGCGGCATGATGTGAGCAGCGGGCGCTTCCAGGCCCCAGACGCGGCACGAGAAGAGTACTCCCCAGAGATCCGATGTCGCGATTTCTTCAAAACGCGATCCCCAGAAGTATCGACCCATGCCCCAGGACCGGTTTCTCGTCCTGAGTCGCTTTTTGACGGTCCTGGGGCCCGGGGAGTGCCCCTAGAGGCTGAAAATTGGAAAAAACCTCCGTCGTGATTTTTTCAACGCGTTGGATCCCTGGGGCAGGAAGTGCAAGGCTCGGAGTCATTGATCGGACCAGCCGCCCAGGGCCCCCCGTCGGTGGCCGCCGGCCTCCGCCCACCTCGGCGGGGCGGCACGCCCACCAACCGAGGGGGCGAAAACGTGCCGGTGCACCCAGCGCATGGCCACGCCGTCGTAGGGACGGCCTCCGGCGGCAGAGACAGCAGCATGCCCAGACGCAAGCTGGCGCCTCCTGTGGGAGCAAGCAGGCGTACAGAAGCGTGCCAAGCAGGCCATCCTGACGCGGCAGGCCCGTGCATCGGCCAGGAAGCTTGCCCGAATGGGCTCTGGGACTCCCTCGAGGAAGAGGTCGAAGCAGGGCCTCGGCCGAAGAGATGACTACATAGGTGCTGTCACTGCACTCCACTATGCCTCGTGCTGGGAGAAACTACCATTCCAGACAATAATCTTCGGGTGCCTCTGATTGTCGAGGGCTGCCAACTGGGGTGTTGGGCGCCCGCGCCTCTCGCTCGGCCGGCGAGACGCTGCCGATACGCATACTTGCTATAGCGAAACAGGCACGTGACACGCTGCTTTGTTCGATGATCTCCCATGGGTCCGGTGCACTTGAGTCCAGCCATCGCCCGTGTCAGTGCCTGTGAATGTGGAGTCCCACGGTTGATACCAGGTAGTGTGCTTATCCTCTAGACATTTGGAAAGGCGAAAGGACATTCCCTTGCGGGAAGGCGAAGTTCGCTCCCGCACCCGTATGCAGTGCGCAGTGTCTGCTACCTCATCCCCCACAGTGTAGCCCTGAGCTGCGAGCTCGTCCGCGAAGTAGCCTGACGCCAAGGCCTCAGCAACCTCGTCCGCGGCGTAATTCTGCAAGGCAAGACACTCAATACTCCGCTGCTCCTTCTCCAGCAGGTGGCACTCCAGGTTTGCCAGCTTTGGTCATGACCCACGCCACTGGCTCCGAGGGCGCCTGTACTTCTCTAGCAAGATGAGCATTCTCGTCCTCCAGAGTGGCCTCGTCGTCCTCCGGGTCTCCGTCGACACCGCTGGATAGGTCGCCACCAAGGTTGTTGCCTGCCGCTGGCGCCCCGGATGGGCGCTGTGTGCCCCGCATGCCCTTGACGGCGCGCTCATCTTCCTCCGTATCCAAATAGTATTCATATTCGGAGGTCTCAGTTTGCCGAAGGCTGCCTGTTGGAAGCGACCGCTCTCGGCCGGGTGGCGGCATGCCTCGGCGGCGCCCATTCGTGTAGCGCTGTCCGCCACGGCCCTCGTCGAGATTTTCCCTACTGCTCGTCGAACCGGCTGGCTCTTCTGCCTCCATGTCGTACCCGGTGCTGCCTGCCAGCCCGCTCTGGTATGCGAAGTCCTGGGAGCCCGCGGTGGAGAGGTCTGTGCCCTGCTCCTCGTCCTCCGGGTCGTCATCGCTGCCGCTGGACAAGTCGCCGCTCGGGTTGCTGCCTGGCGTGGGCGCGCGGCTGGCCATCGGCGTTCCACGGCGGCGGTTCAACGTATAGCTGCGGCCCCCCGAGGGCGTTGGGCCCAGCAACTCATGATGCTCTTGGCCTGGGTGGAAACCGGATACCGCGCGCTGGAAACACTGCACGGGCCCAGGGGAGGGCTGTGCTCAGGGCGCAGACTTCACAGGCCCCTCCATCCCCTGGCCCGTGCCATAACTGAGCTCATCTTCATACCGAATCTCATAATTTTGCCTCCAATCATCTAAGCCCGGCTGCTCTTGTTGAACGCATTGGTGTAGCTCGCAATTGTAGCCGCTCCGCTGCACGGCATGGTTGTCGACCAGGCACTCGTCGTAGAACATGCGCGTTTCCTGCACGAACACGGGGGTCTCGGTTCGCAGCGGGGACACCGGTGCTTCCTTCTGTGCGGCGTCGTTGTGTGGTTTGTGTGCTGTTGCTGCACGCCAGAGTGTTCCGATATCTCCAGCGCGCACACGTGTGCTTTTGCGGCACGCACAGGCAAGCTTCTGTACCGCAGCGCGGAGATGCCTCACCGTAGTGGTATCTCTCGTCATGGCGTATTACGAGCTCTCCTCGCATGTCCTTCACGGACCTCTGCAGCAGCTGTACCTGCTGGTCGCGCTCGCAGCGCGGCCTGCAGCAGGGATATGCAGAGACTTGTCCAAGGTTGAGCCTCTTCAGCGTGCCCGTGGCACACCGGAATCTGCACGAAGCGGTCGGACTTTGGCACCCTCGCACCCCTCCCCCCTCCTCCCCTTCATCACGCAACCCTCGACCTCTGTCTACTCCTCGTCCTCGTCCTCGTCTTCTCCCTCCTCCCTCCCTCTCTCCCTCCCTCATTCCCTCTCTCCCCTCTTTCCCTCCCTCCCTCCCTCGTATCCCCCCTCTCCCTCTGGAGTTCTGGAGACGCAGTGCTCCGGGTGTCGCACCGCCGCCGCAGCCTCGCGCTGTTCCCCGAAGGCCCTTGTGCAGAGGCGCGCGCGGGCCGCTGCCGCGGCCTCGCGTCGTGCCGCCGCGGCCTCCGTGCAGGCCGGAGCTGGGGAGGGCGCCGACCCGACGGCCCGCTCCGCGGCCGCCGCGGCCGCTGCGGCTGTCGAGGCGGCCGCCGCGTGCGGCGCAGGCGTCCTCCGCTCCTGCCCCTGGGCTGCGGCTTCGCGGCGCCTGCGCCCGGGCCGCAGCCGCCGCCGCCAGCGCCCTGAGAACGCCGTGCCCACCGCCGCGCCCTGCGCCCGGCCTGGCGCCGGGGCGTGCGCTTAATCCCTGCGCACGCCCCGGCGCCTCGCCCCCCTCCCCCTCCCCTTCCCCCTCGCCTTGCCCCTCGCCCTCGCCCTGCCCCTCCCCCTCCCCTTCCCCCTCCCCCTCCCCTTCCCCTCCCCTTCCCTTCCCTCCCCGGCATGGGGGAGGGGGTCAGAAGCACCCCTGCTTCTTAGAAGGCGCGGGTCCCTGTCTAGAGATGTGAGGCAGGCGCCTTCTCAGAATCAGGCTCCTTCTGAGAAGCCTTCCCCTCTCCCCCGACCCCCTTGTGCTCGCTGCCAAGGTTTGTGGGCAGCGCTTGATCACCCCTGAGATCCGACGGCGCGAAGTAATAGACACGAAATAGAAACTCACGACCGGAATCCTAGACCCCATCCTTCTGCGCTATTTCCCGAGCCTGATCGATCTGTGAGGGTCTGGGCTCGAAGTTTGGCGAAAACGCCAGGCTTGAAATAAATGCGTCGCCAGGATCTCGTGGACCGCGCCGCTCGGCAGTGCTCAGGAGGGAAAAAACACAGACACAATTAATCGTCGATCCCCCAGAAAATATGGGAAAATATGGGAAGTGTGGGGGAAGACAAAAACCCAGAAAATATGGGAACATATAGGGAACATTTTTATTAGTGTGTATTTTTTTGTGTGTGTGTCCTGGGGCCCCTTCAAGTGCGTGCAGCGTCAAGACCACATCCACCGCCGAACAGCGGTCTGGCCTGCAGCCGGCGGGGCCGATGGCTCGCCGTGGCCAGGAACGCCCCTTCGTTCCTTGCGGTCGGACCGAGGTATGAGAGCGAGATCGGCTCGGGGAGGGCACGCTGATGTTCTTCGTGCTTGCTGGATGCTCGCCGTGGCCAGGAAAGCCCCTTCGTTCCTTGCGGTCGGACCGAGGCATGAGAGCGAGATCGGCTCGGGGAGGCTACGCTGATGCTCTTCGTGCATCCTGGGGGAGGTTGCCCTCGAATGCTCTTCCGTCTGGCCGGCGGAGGCTCTCAGCCCGGCCGTGTCTGTCACCACCCACCAAACCACCCCAACCCAACCCGAAGGCCCAAAATTATCCTCGATTTCCAGTGGGGGGGGGGGTCGGGGAACATCGAAAAAACACATGGAATCCTTCTGGCAGTGCCTTCTGGCAGTGCGACGACTGCATCGACCTCCCGCGCTCGCGGGCGTGTCTCCCAGCGGGGAGGCTGGCGAAACCCCCGCTCGGGCCGCCGAGGGGCGGAGGCCTGCATTTGAGAGCCGGTCGGTCGAGCGCGGATTCCGGAGGCCCCGTCGAGCCATGGCAAAACTCACGGCGGGAGGGCTTTCGCTGTTCTCCGGCCTTTGGTCGGGGGAGAAAAAGA